AAAAAAAAAAAAAAAACTGTCCCCGCGGCACGAATAAGAAAAGCCACCAACACCGTAATCATATTCTTACCTCACACCACATCATGTCCGACTTCGACAAGTTTGTGAAGCTGCTCGCGCAGACGGACGGCCGCGACAAGATCTACAAGTTCCTTGGCGGCGTGCTGAAGATCCTTGCCACCGTGGAGGCGGGCCACCCGCGCGCGGCGAGCTACAAGGCGGTCGGCAGCTCCATCACCGATGGCCGCTCGCTCCTGCGCATGGCCAAGTGGACGGGTGACGTCCCCAAGATGCACAGCATCGTCGCCCTCTACACAGAGAAGGGCACAGTGGAGATGAAGAAGATTATCGAGTTCCTGCGCGTGCTGGGCAACTTCCTGTACGTGCTCGGCGACAACACCGCCTTCCTGATGCGCTACAAGCTGCTGCCCGGCAAGGCGAAGCAGGTCCAGCACCACAGCAAGATCGCGCAGTTCTGGGGCTTCTTCTTCGCGGCGGTGCTCGACCTGGTCGCCCTCCGCAAGGCGCTGCTGAAGCGCGCCAGCGACGCGGCGACCAGCCAGAAGGAGGCAAAGGCTGCCCTCATCAGCCTCGCAAAGGACGGTGCGGACGTGTTCGTCACGATGGCGGCCGTCGGCTACATGAAGGAGGTGTGGCACCCCAGCGCCGTGACCTCCGGCGCCCTCACCGCGCTCTCTGGTGGCATCGCGACGTACCTCAACTGGAAGAAGATCAAATGAGAAGGCCCCCCGCATATATGGGAGCAAAGGAAGTAGTCGGGGGACGTTGCGCGCATGTACAGCTCTACACACCGAGCACTTCTACACACACACACACACACACACGTACACGCCCATCAGTAAAATAGCTCTCAGATGCTTTCAGGACACTCACCTGTTTGCTGTGAGCTGGGCCTGATGTGCCTGGGAGAAAAGGAGGAGCGGTGTGTGTGTGTGTGTGTGTGTGTGTGTGTGGTGCCGCAGCGCCTTCACCAACGAAGAATCACGAGCTGCAAGTAGGTGAGGAAGGAATAAAATGATGAAGACCACCAAAGAAGGACAAGAAAGAGCAAATAACGAGGTGCGAAGAAACAAAAAAAAAATTAATTGGAAAGAAACGGGGAGTAATGAGAAGGGGGCAAATGAATTCTCCCGGCTTGGGTACCATTTCCCAAATGGGGGAAAAGCAAAAGAAGAGTATTTGTGCATGAATAAGGGCACAACGATCGGAAGCCAATACCAATGCGTACAAGCTCAACATCCAAGAGGGGAAAAAAATACGGGAAACCCAATATAACAGCAAGAAGTTTGACACCTTTATATATTGTTAGGAAATTCCTGTAAGAACAATTTCCCTCCCCCCCCTCTTTGTGTTGCTCTTTCCCGCGATTTCTACACCCGTTGACCACTCCAATCACACAGAAGCCGCTTCTTTCTTACTCCTTTGCCGTTATTCATGCAACAGTGGCAGTAGTGGTGGCAGTGGCAGAGCCAAAAAGCTCAAACCAAAGAGGGGGATAGCGAGAGCAGGGATAAGTATCAACGAGAAGTAGGGCCCTGCGCATATCCACAAAAGCATTACACACACAGGCGGAGGGGAACAACAAGAAGAAGAAGGGACAACAACAGCAAAATAATCGGAACGAGAAACGAGATGTCCGTGCCATTTAAGTATCGTCAACATATTCGTGATATTCACGAGTCCTTCCACGATGGTAAGCCCATCTCGGAAGATGAACTGATGAGTGTCATGAACATAATCTGCCCAGCCGAGCAGCAGGAGATTTGTGCACCGTATCGAGCGCAGTGCCCTCTGAATGGGAACAGTTTTCTCACCCTCATGTATGAGCTCCAGAAGGCTACACAGATACCGTACGAAGACTTTGTGTGGAACTACATCAAGGGATCCCTGAAGAACGGCCTGTTTAACGGCCAGGATCACGCTGATCTCAAGGCCCTCCGCACAACACTGGACCCACTGATGCGCTCGGTGCGCTTCGACGTCCAGAACATCTACAAGCAGCATACCAATCCTGACGATGACGGCCAGATTACTATCGATCACCTTTGCGACGTCTTCCGCGCCATGTATCCCGCCAACCAGATGGTGTACATCGAAATGTACAAGTGGGCACGCGCAAAGAAAGTTATCAAGAGCAGGGGAATCCCCAGCGAGCGCGACAAGACAGCAAGTGCACGCCCCACACCGCCGGTGGCGCCGTCAGCCCCACCAACAACAGTAGATACATCGAGTGGCGACGTCACGGCCGCAGGAAAAGCAGAACAAGATGGTCCTGAGAATATGCCTACCACACCAGCGCCAACAACAACGGCAGAGGCGGAGGCGACGGCGACGACAACGATGACAAATCTCGATGAAAAGAAGGAACGAGAAACACATCAGCAGGAAAACTTAGAGAGTAGCCCTCAACCAGTGGAGGAAGCACAAAAATTATCCGCTGAGGGGGTGCCTAAAGAGACGGACGAGGCATCACTTAATGCCGCAATGGCATCAAATTCATTGCGGGCCGCTGCGGCTGAGAAGGCTGAAACGCCAACAGCTGTAGAGCCACAAGCCCAGAGTCCTTATGCCACAGAGGCTGCAGCTTTAGATACTCCTATGGCTGCCGCGGCGGCCGCCGAAAAACGTGATAAAAACCAGATAATGCTTCCTGCTATATTGCCCACAACAACGGAGCAACCACTATCGCCGGTGGACGCAGGGGCCCCAGAGGAGCCGCAACGAGAGTCCCAGACTGCCGATTTTCACGCACGGCCACTTGATGGGGTGGGGGCCTCCTCTGTCCTTGTATCGCCCTCAACCACCATGTCATTTCGTGTTGCTCCGCCGCAGGTGCAAGTTGAGCGACGCCCTGGGCTTGATTTCAACCCGCCAAACATCCGTGATATTGAGCCCCCGAGCAGTAGCAACAACAAGAGTGTGGTTTCTGGCAGAAACGAGAAGCCGCTGCCAAAGTTGCGCGCACACGATGAGCATCCGTCGTGGGAGTACGAGGAGATGTTGCTTGATGCCATGCTGGCCCGAGTGGTGCCTGGGAAACCGGTGGATCCGCAGGTGGTGGAGTATCTCAGGGAGCTGGCAAGGCAGGAGAGGGAGATTCAGGCGGCCCTGCACATGGAGATGGATAACTTGACGTCGAACATGCTAGCCTGCGAGGTTGTGGAGCAGCGAATGATGGCGCTGCGCGACCAAAGACAAGCACGGTGCTTTGATCGGCTGGAGACACGACGCTCAGCACTTATGGCAGAGATGGATAGGTATGTGCGAAGGGTGCGCAGTGATTTGGTGCAGAACAGAACACGTCTCGGGTGTAGCAGTGATAACGATATTGATAGCTCTGGCCCTGGTGCAAATCACTCCGTGGCGCGGCCTGGCAAGAATGCCGACTCACGCTATGATAGTGGCAGTGCACACAAGGAGCCGGGACCTCTCAAGGTGGCATCGGTGTCCACACCGCCCCCGCTGCCTCCGTCGGCGAATTATCACCGAAGCGCCCTGCAGCGTTGGCGACGCCTGGAGGAGGAGGAGGAAGAGAAGCTGCAGCGGCTGCGCAGCGTTTCGTATCCAGCCGCGTGGGCCACTCCGATATTGCAGCGGCGCCCACCATATCAGCAGGCGCCCTTTTCGGCGGACGTGGAGTTCGCCAAGCGCATCTGCGGGGAGTACACACCCAGCGGTGCGGCGCCGCAGCGTGGCAACTGCAGCAACGAGGCGCCGACGCCGCGGCACTCCGCCGCGCCGGT